AAAAAAAAAAAAAAAAAACAGATTGCGGCGAAATAGCGGCAATAGCGACAATAGCGCGCTATAGCGGCACTGTAGCGCGCTATAGCGTCAATAGCGCCAATAGCGCAGAAATGCAAAATAGCGTCGCATTAGTTGGTTTAAAACGCAATAGCGGCGCTATAGCGCGCTATTTTTTTCCATGCATTTAAATAAAAAATAAAAATTTTATATATAGTGGTTAGAATTGAGTTGTAGTTAAATAATAAAATAATTAAAATGAATATACTTAAAACTAAACTATGACTTACTTCATTATATTTACGTTGTTTGTTTTTACTTTTTAGTATATTCTCTTTATTATTTAAATATTTATATTATGATATTTACATTAAACATTTATGTAAAATAATTCTTTGATGTTACTTTTAAATTCATTCAAATATTATTATAATCTTTAGAACAAACCGTCCATTTTTATTATATGGAAACATATTTATATATTTCTATAAAATAAGTTTTTATACCCAAATAGGTTACGCAACATGCAACGCTATTTACGCTACGCAATATAAAGATCGAAACGCTACGCATTACGCTATACGCGATTTAAAACACTGGATTGGATATACATATTTTTCCTTTCACAACTCAACTCAAACCCTCTTTAATATTATCATTATAATTAAATAATATCAATCAATAATTCTCACACATCACATCTGATGTAGCACCAATAATAGCTTGGTGGACTGGCTTGATTGGTTAGCTCGGTGAAAGCCGGTTAAGATAAGCTCCAGCTCTTTAAGAAGAAGAAAACCCAGTCAGTGGCTCGCGGATGCAGCTCAAAGTACTGGTCGACCTAAAGGAATTACCTGGAAGTCACAACCTCCAGGACTTCGCGTATGAAGAGTGGCCTTAAAGGTGTCGAGGTCGCAAGTCAGGATGTCGGGGGTCGGAGGTCGTGGTTACGACCTAAGGACCTGGGAGCCGTGCAAAAAAAAGGGCGAAATATTACTAGTCAGAAGGAAAATATAACTTGCTAAGGAGATTTACCTGGATAAAGACGTAGTAAGTTAGGAAAGAAGATCTGGTTGGACCTCTTTCCTAACAATGACTATCTTGGCCATTAAGGTATCCACTATATATAAGGGTAACAGGGTTATATGTTAATATCTTTCGCATATTCAAGCATTAAATATGCACTTTTATCAATTTATTTTCTCTAGCAATTTTTTACTTGAGTATTGGAGGTTTTCCGCCGCGTCCAGGCGTATTGTAGGTCATCGGAGCTTAGAGCAGAAGGACGTTTGAGGATCAATTGGGGCAAACCCGATACGCGACAAATTGTTACATCAATATCAATTCTAATTCACTATTCATTAACTCACATAATTTTAACTATCCATCACTTCGAATCACTTTTCTCATACTTATACATCAAATCAACTTTAATTATTTTATTTTAAATATTATTTTAGTACAAAGTTGAAAATCCACTCAACTCTAACCCAATCAACTTTTTAAAAATCAATTCAAATTGTCCTGTCCACAACGAAGATATTCTCTCTTCATGAGTGGCGATTCTCCAATGTCAGGGCAATATCAGCTTTATGCTTACTTTCATAATCAAAATTGGGGCTTTAATCTAGTTTAACCAGGTTCAATCCTCTCTTTCTTCTCTTATGTCTATGTTCTTCATGTTAATTTCAGAGCGCATTACTAACTTTCCTCATTAGGGTTACCTCTTTTTTTATTTTTTCATCGACTATCCCTCTGGTCTCTTTCCTTCTCTCTTCGTTTGTGTTGGTTTGTTTACCTTGGTCTAGGGTTTCTTTTATCTTCGAGTTAGCCGAGCTCAGAGTTCAAGGAAGACGAGATTGCGAGTAAACTTTGCTCTTTCCAGCTATCGGGTAGAGAATCTTCGGCCATTGATATTGCCTCAGAAGACATTACCCTCAGTGCAGATGATTGCTCGCGCAGTTTAATGGGGAAAATTATTGGTCAGAAAAGAGCTAGCCTCATTGGGCTCCGTCGATCTGTTAGTCAAATGTGGCACACCAGAGGACCAATCAGGACCAATCACAGTAAAAGAAATTAGCCCGGACTTCTTTCAATTTGTCTTCTCGGATGATGCTGACAAATCTAAATTTAGAATTGGTATAGGTTGGGCATTTGAAAATCAGTTCTTGGTTCTTCAGGACTGGAAAGAGGATATCTCCCCAGAAAATCCATAATTTTTAGTGATGGATATGCGGGTACAAGCCTGGAGTTTTCCTCTCAACTGGATGTCAACGGAGGTTGGGCTCAAAATTAGCAAAGCATTCCAATCTACAAAAGATGTCTTAGTTCCACAGGGAGGATTTCTTGCTGGCAAATGTATCAGAATGCTGGTATCTATTGACCTCACTCAACCCATGCTCAGATATGCAAGCATAAAATTGGGATCCAAATCACTGCTGGTGCAATTCAAATATGAAAAAATGGTCAGTCTATGTTATTATTACGGGATGCTTGGACATATTGATAAAAATTGCTCTAGAAGAACAATAGATATAACTGATGGGATACTGAAGGAGGGGCTTTATGGAGAATGGACGAAAGCTCAGGAATTTCCCTACTTTGCCTCCTTAAGCCACATTGCTACTACTTCCACAATTCATCAATTCAGTACATCAAGCCAAAGAAAATCCATTGAAGTTATCAATCCTAATGTGAACTTATCCCAATCTACAACTGCCTCCAACTCCCCAAACCCCTCAGATTCCATCCATACAAGTCCTTCCCATATTAAACCCCCAGATTCCATCCATACAAGTGCCTCCCTTGTTAATCCCACACCTTATATATCTCAAATTCAACTTATGGAATGTGATAAACCCATCACCCTCTAAAACCCCAACCCAAATACAAGCCCAATCCCAAACACAACCTATACCCAGAAACTCAATCAAGCCTCACTTGTAGATAAAATCATTCACCCTGATCCTTTATTTGAATCCACCCCTCTCTCAACTCAACAGCAACAAAACCCCTCAAA